AGAGAGAGAGAGAGAGAGAGAGAGAGAGAGAGAGAGAGAGAGAGAGAGAGAGAACGTGTGTACAGAAAGTTAATAGATACAATAACAGACAAAAATAGAAATAAAACATAGAAGAGCAAAGAAATTATGACATAAGGAGAAAATTTTTGGTGACCTCTGAAGTCTAATGGTAATACGGGGTAATACTCGATCGCCTCAAAAATAAACGTGTTTGTTTTCAGTTTCAGGCAATCGAGTCGTGCTATCGGTCCGCTACCAGACTCGAAATGGTGGGATTGCTTGTTCGGGGTTCGAGGATCAGCTTGGTCGGATGATGTGTCTATGGGAAAGGCACTTTTCACAAATTTTCTCATTTTGCTTGGTCCTATCGGAAAGGGAAGTTTAATTTTGAACTCCAGTCCCACAAATAACCTTAGGGTGTTACATGAGGCGTTAAAGCTATACAATTTTGCATTTTGAAAAATCTAACCAATGTGTGAAATGGGCAGCATGTTCCACACTATCTTTGAAAACAAAATGATACTTTCCGATGTAGAGATAATACACAATTATTTTAATTTTAGATACAATATCTAAAAAGCTGAGAAGACCATCCTTTAAGAAACTGCAAAACAAAATAACTTTTGTGAAAGAGATGAGGGACGAAAGGTTCATTTAGATTTAGAGTCAAGACTTGAAGGTAAAGAATAGATGGAAAAAAATGGATTTATACAAAATGACGGCTTAGTAAAAAGGGAATTCTTTAATTTCGAATGAAGGCAAACAAGTAGTCAAGAACAACGGTCAAACGTGCAGGGCAAATCCACTAACTACATCTGAACTTCCTCACTGACAGACGGGCACTAGTCATTTCTTTTTTTAAATCAATAAGATGAATATTTGGAGTGATTTTTCATTTGGTCAGAACACAACGTTTTATGTTACTGAGGTAATACTAACAGCGTAAACCCAAACCAAGCAGGCTTCAGAAAAGGCAGCAACACAGAAGATCAACTTTATAAACTGAGTCAAAACATCCAGGATGGATTTGAGGAGACTAAACACACTGTCGCCATCTTTGTAGATCTCCAACAGGCGTTAGACAGAGTGTGGAGAAAAGGCCTACTCATGAAAATGATGGTCCTCGGGATACATGGGAAACTTTACAAATGAATCAAGTTCTTCCTGTCGGATCGAAACATTGAAACCAAGGTAAACAATGCCCACTCGGCAAGAGAAGTACTCAAGGAAGGCCTACCTCAAGGTTCCTGTCTAAGTTGTATTTTGTTCCTGATCTTCTTTAATGATGTAACGGACGTGCTGAATCAGAAAAGATTCTTTATGCAGATGATCTTGCTCTCTGGCAAACACATCACAGCACGATGGGAGCAGGGAAATTAAATAAAGACCTCAAGAGGCTCCACAATTACTGTCAGAAATGGAAACTTAAAATAAACTGCACGAAAACAGTATACACCAGCTTTACGAAGAACCATAAAGCAGCCAAAGAAAATCTGAATGAAAGTCTCCCCAAAGAACACCCAATTTACCTAGGAGTGAAACTTGACCATAGTCTAACCATGAAAAGCCAAGTGGAGAACATAAGGAACAAGGAAAAAAAAACTTTTAAAGAAACTCGCAAGCAGTTCATGGGGATCAGACAAACAAACTCTAAGAGCTCTTTACCTTGGTTGTGTCCGATCTTCCCCGGAATACAGCAGTAGCCTACTCGCTATGTGCAGTACAACTGCTTGCAACACCCTTGACAAGGTCCAAAACAATGCCCTTCGTTTTATAAATGGTGGCATGAGATCCACACCTACCGCCGTGTGCGAAATCCTTTCAAATGTTGAACCCCTGGGAATCCGCAGAGATAAAGTATCATAAAGCAGTTTTGGAGCTACATGAAAGAACTAAACGAATGTGCCCCAACCACACAATCAGGAAATTAGTCGAAACATGGAAACCAAAGAAACGAATTCAGCAAAAGTCAATCATGCATCACATCACAGAACTAAAGGAAAGTCACCATCTACTACAAAACAGAAAAGAAACCAAAAGAGTCAACCAAAACGTCCCTCCCCACCTTTCTTTTAAAAAGCCAATCATTACAACATCTCTCAAAGACAATAGCACAAAACCCAGTGACGCTGAAGCTTGCATCGCATCAAACAATGGACAGCTATTCAGATGACTGGATACACGTCTTTACGGACGGCTCAGCTTTCAAAGGCACAACCAAAGCCGGATATGGAATACTAACACAGTGCCCAGATTGTTCCAATCAGATCTCTGCAGCCTGTGGAGAGAAATGCAGCAACTACGATGCAGCAACTACGATGCAGAAATGATGGCAATTGAAACAACCCTGTACCATCTCAGCACAGTTTTTGACACTCATACTAGAAAAGCACAGAGTATTGTGATTTTCACTGACTCACTATCAGTCTTACAAGCCCTAGAAAAAGACCATATTCTAAACCAAGATTTGACTCATACTGTTTGGTTCCCATCATCTGATAACATGCTGTGGATCAACCTAGTAATGCAGTGGGTCCCTGGACACTCAAACGTACCTGGAAAAGAGAGAGCAGACACACTTGCCAAACGGGGATCTAGGTAGGAACAACCCAACATTCCAACTTCATACAACGCTGCAAAACAAATCATTAAAAGCAACAACAAACAAGATTGTATGAACCAATGAGCCCTGGGAAAGACAGGCAGAGCAGTTTTCAAACAAATGACCACTACAAAAAGGAATGACAATATCAACCACATACAGAGAAAGAGAGAAAAAAACATACCACGTTCTTCCGCCTACGAACAGAACATATTATACAGCTCAACTTCCACCTGAACAGAATAAACCCGGAACTTCCCCCAATGTGTCCCTTGTGTGACTATGCATACGAGACTGAGGATCATCAACTGTTCCACTGCACAGCCCTAAATGACATCAGAGCTACCATTCTCTCTCCGAGACCTAACATTGACAACGCACTCTATGGAACATTACTGCAACTG